AGATTTACTAAAAGTTGAAACGGAGTCGGTAAATCGGAATGTACACAGTTATAATAAAAAAAAAGTGGATGACTTCATCATGTTCCGGATATCAAACTAGCATTCTTGTCTCATCGAGGTGTCTAATGGTAAAATTGACTAACTTTGCGTTGTCTCTCCTCAGAGGACAGGTATAAGCGTAGCGATTGGTCAGTTATTTTAACTTGAGATCAATCAAAGGGCTAGCCGCGTTCCTTTAATTTTGCTATTACATATTCCAGGTGTGTAGGTGTGAACGTAGCCCCTGGAGTATCGAGGATACCATGTAAATTTGTATCATAACCGCCATATGGAGTACGGATAACCTTCGTACGCTGTTCTGACGTCTTGATTAGACGTATACGCTCGACTGATTATAAGCCACTAACAAAAATGACAGAGCAAGGGTATACAGTTGACAGTTTGCTTGTTTGTTTGTGGTTTAACGTCCTCGCAACAGCCAGTGTCATATGAGGACGGGTGCCTAGGTAGACACAAAAGCCATGGTCATACGAGGACGGGTGCCTAGGGAGACACAACAGCCAGGTCATGTGAGGACGGGTGCCTAGGTAGACACAACAGCCATGGTCATATGAAGACGGGTGCCTAGGGAGAAACAACAGCCAGGATCATACGAGAAGGTGCTTAGGGAGACACAACAGCCAGGGTCATATAAGGACGGTGCCTAGGTAGACACATCAGTCAGGGTCATATGAGGACGGTGCCTAGGGAGACACAACAGCCAGGCTCATATGTGGACGGGTGTCTAGGGAGACACAACAGCCAGGATAATATGAGGACGGATGCCTAGGTAGACACACCAGCCAGGGTCATATGAGTACGGATGCCTAGGTAGACACAACAACCAGGGTCATATGAAGACGCATGCCTAGGAAGACACAACACCCAGGGTCATAAGGGCCATATGAGGACGGTTGCCTAGGGAGACACTGCCTCAAGCAGAAAGTAGATAGAAAAGAAAGACGACAGGAAAGATAGGCAGCGATAAAGATCCTAGGTGTTCCAATTGGGGCAGCTAATCAAGTGTGTTCTCTCCGATGAATGCTTATAAGAAGACTAAGGAGAAAAACCCCGATTCGACAGGGGCCCCCACATTAGTCGCCTCTTACGACACACAGGTAGTGGTATACAGCAGGTCTATTCCTGGTTTCTTCAACGTTCCCTAAACAGAAGACAAGGTAGAAACCAGCCCCGATTCTGTAGGAGGAGGGTGTCAGTTTTGTGTTAAATTAAATATGTTCAGATGACGTCACGCTCACTGTAACACGAACTCGTGAATCTTTCCCAGGTAAAGAAGATTGAGCACAGAAATTTCAAAACGCCTAAGTGTCAAGACAATAATTATATTGATGACGTAAACAGAATGTGTGCACCCAAGTACACAAACACACCAGCTTCATTCCGAGGTGACAAAGTGAAAGCTTTATGGCGATGACAAACAACATGTCAATTCTGACTAAAGTTGTGATGAAAACGTAATTAACATAATTACAACCACTGAATTAACTACAAACATCACTGTTCCGTCACTTCCCACGCCTGCTGTGAACGAACGCATGTTTTACGTCCTATTAACAGCTATAGTCATTTAAGTTGGTGGTCACTTCCCACGCCTGCTGTGAACGAACATAGAGGTCAGACAAATCAACTTTAAGTTTATGATACATGTAACAACACTTTTAGTTTGTTTGTGTTTTACGTCCTATTAACATCTATAGTCATTTAAGGACGTGCTAGGTTTTGGTGGTAGACGAAAGCCGGAGTTCCCGGAGAAAAATGGCGACTTCGTGGCGACAGCCCAACAAAAAAGGCCTCCAACCCGCGACCCAGTGGTGGAGGGCCAGTGGTAGCAGGATGTCAGACACCTTAACCATTTGGCCACCGCCAATAATAATACAAAAAATACAATAATGTCCCACATTACAAAAACATCTAACATCTAAGACTGCACGCCAGGGGATGGGGTGCGGGTGGGGGTTAAGGCAAGGGGAAAATATCCATCTGTTCAATCAATGAGTACAATAGGACATGTCATTTGTGCTGTAAGGTTTTTACTTCATACCTCCAATACTTTTCTATGTGCTTATTCTATTTTCTGCAAATTATTAGGCTACTCACTCTTTTCCCCTATTGATATTCATTATGCTCCCCCCACCCTCCGAAGAAAAAAATAATAATCGAACGAGGACGAACGAATGACGTCACGTTTCCATAGCGTAAAATGACATTTCAAACCCCTTTTTTCAATTTGTCGATTTTATCGGTGGATAACAACTCATGAGTTCTAACGAGTAAGGATTTCTATTTATTGGGGTAATACAACATCTTATATTACCACAGTGTGAAACACAGAAACATGTATTGCATTGCCTGAAATCCGGTTTTATCATTAACCAGGTACATGTATATAGTGAATTTAGTATGTAACATGTTAGTACTATACAAAACCATGACATTTCAAATGTTCTAAAACAACAATATTCACACATCTATTGGCCTTCGACAATAAATGACCTTGGTGACATTTTAAGATATTTTGAAAATACTAAAAATACATTCAACAGAAAAAAATTCTCCCAAAATATTGTGCCAAGAAAAAAAATTGCACTATGTACTAAGAAATCTACGTCGATACACACTATTCTCAGTTTTAGCTGAAATATATAGGATCTTACATGAGTTTCCTTTTCACATGAGATTTATAAAACGAGTCTAAGAATTTTTCAATTAAGTGAGCCTATGGCGAGCTAAAATGAAAAATTCGTGACGAGTTTCATAAATTTCATATGAAATGAAAACGAGTGTAAGATGATTTTTATCACATAATCAATATTTGTGGCATTTTTTCGCATAAAGCGACAATTTTCATGCAACCTTAAAATGTAAAAAGCCGCCATTTTGACTCCAGTGCGTAAGTCTAGACGTCATGTACTTGTCCTAGGCAATTTGAATTAAATTTTAATTTAAACTTTCAACCAATCACAGGGCTGATATGTCATATTACAAGCGTTAATAAGCAAAAAAATATGACATGGGTACATTCACTGAGTAACACAGTACATAATTTGATAAAAGCAAAAATTAAACGGTTTTGATTAAGATCGAGACACACTATATTCAGAGATAGGCCTACTTGAAGTTTGTAATACTCCAAAGCATATCCAACGATGTATCTTAGACATAGGAAGGTTTAATTAAAACTTATTACTATTATTGTTATATATATATATTTATAACTCTTTATTTTGATTTAATTATAATGTGATCGGTATTGTAACCCCCACCCCGCTCTTCTTTTTCACCCAAATACATTTTTATTTCATTTGTGAGTGTGCAAGCTGAGTTAATGTCTGTCTGTCCTGCCTGCCTCTATGTCTGTCTGTCCGTCTGGATCATGAGTGTGTCTATTGCTTGTCTGTCTCCTTGTTTTTCACATTGATAGAATTTGATATTATGTTACACCTAGCCATCTTTTATTGTATAAACATAATATTGTTTTTCAAAGGGGCAGAGGGCGTCCATAATGTTCATATAACTTGTGCCCAATCCCCTTGCTGTATGTATCCTTATGGCAATGAAATAACGTTTAAACTAGAAACAAAAGCTGTTGCCCTGGATACCATACCGACACAGAATTCGCCACTCAGTATCAGACAGAAAACTGTCGAGGCAGCATGGAAAAACCATGCATAACGGAATCTTGGACGCATGCACAAGAAAATACAGAAGTTAGATTGGCCTAAGCAGTTTGTGTTTAAAGGGAAGTAACTCTTAACAACTTGAGCAAACTATATTTACTCTAGGGGTTAAGTTAAACGCTCACTTACGTTTTCTGAACCACTGGAATATGTCTTGACAAAATTGATGACGCGTTGCTAGCTATGCGCCTTTTCGTGTATACAGTGACCACCTCTTAATTTCGTCTGGACATAACTGTCGCACAGGCTGGGCCAGGGCACGTCCGTTGAGCATGTACCTCCATGAGTCGGTTAGACAGCTAATATAGTCCATGGTCGAATACCGGTCTAGCTGAATGTTATACACTTAGAATACTGTTGCTGATTATATTTTGTTTATATTTCATCTTTATTATTTTGCTTTTATGTCCCGTGAGGTATGGTTCTGTTTAAAGAAGTGATGTATCAAAGCTATATACATTTTTTACATTTTTTGGCAGTGGTATTGGGATCCTGAAGGGTCGCATCATATTCTGTAGAGGTTATGGGGTATAAATCTATATAGTTCTTGTGCAAAAATTGTTCATATTAAACATGTCGCAAGACCCATTATAATCCATCCTTGGTTTACATCCAAAGCTATTTTCTTGGTTTTTTTTATAATTTCTAAAATACCGGACTTTTCAGTATCAGTATCAGTATCACGGAAGGTACCGAAGCATGTGATGTCATCACTCACTGTGTGACGTCATCCTGGTAAGATACATAACTGTTTTTGTTTTGACTGTATAATGTTAATGAAAAGTGCCTGGGGCCGCAGTGGCCAAGTTGTTTAGGCACTGTCATTCTGCTACCACTAGCCCTCCACCACTGGGTCGCAGGCTCGAGGGGCAGTCGCCAGGTACTGGCCATAAGTTGTTGTTTTTTCTCTTGAAACTCCGGCTTTCCTCCTCCACCAAAACCTGCCACGTCCCTAAATGACCATAGCTGTTAATAGGACGTAACCACAAACCACTAAAACCTAGCACGTCCTTAAATGACCATAGCTGTTAATAGGACGAAAAACACAAACAAACCAAACCAGATATGAAAAATTACTGGAAAAGGCGGGTGTCTTTCATCTGTAAGGTATCAGTCTAGCGATTGGTCAGGGTTATTTTTCCTGTGACCAATCAAATAGCTAGTGACAATGGCCGGTACAGTACCATCAACACAGTAGTCGAGGTGTTAGTGATTTGAAATCTATCTGCTGCTATTATCTAAAAAGAAGACACACAGAGCTACTCCCTGGATTTAAAATCATAAGCTTGAGTGAAAGACAACACCGGTTGAGTCCTCCAACTCTAGCATAAAGCCGCATTGGACGCGTGCGCGGAGATATGCAGAGGCTGTTTTGGTCATTCCTGGGTCCAGAAAGCGTGCTGGGTCCTGACATGGTTTCTATAGGTCCGCCCACAATGTAAAGGTCAACGAATAATATTATTTAACACTATATACTAGATTTAAATAGTCACTTTAATTATGATTCAGCGCTAAAATGGTGTCTTTCAATCAATTCGTGGGCTTGACATCAAGATAATCTTTTTATTTTTTGACAACTTGGATATATGAAGATTGGACAGACTTGATACAATATTTATGGCAAGGTCCGCTAGTCATATTTTCGGGTTCCTGACCTCGGACTTTTTAGCCCGTTAATGAGATTAACTAGTCCGAATTATTCTGACGTTTTATCAACTTTTTTCATATCGGTCTGTCGTCGATTAATCGACGACAGACCGATATGAAAAAAGTTGATAAAACGTTAATCGACGACATACCGATATGAAAAAAGTTGATAAAACGTCAGAATAATTCGGACTAGAGATTAACGTACTCCAGTTTATGATGGTCTATACGTCCCTTATTTGGTGGAGGGACTATTTGATCTTGGTGCGCTGGGCTAAAACCTCGTGGACACAACAAACATACTCATACAAAGTCTCGTTCAACCAGACGCTTGATCAATTATAGCTTGCGCAGATAATAAGAGTCTGGTTGAACGAGACTAACTCAAACAACGTTGCCATATGAGTCTCGTTCAACCAGACGCTTGATCACTTTGGCGTAGCTTGCGCAGACAACAAGAGTCTCGTTGAACGAGACTACGTTGCCATTTAAATATTAGAAAATGTTATTTCCTCAAAGAAAAATTGATGTCAGGAATATTCTTCTTCAAAATGTTATTTCATGTCTTACTGTATTTGATTTAATGGAAAACTTCGCCGAATCCTATTCGATCCTATTAAATTATGAGTTTGGAGAAATGGATGTCTGGTGTGAAGCCAACGAGGCAAGAACAGTTAGGATTACCAAGGAAAAACATATAGATAGGTGACAACACTTTAAAATACATTTAATGCAAGTTTTAATAGTTGGACAACATGTTGTTGTTGTTTTTTGTGGTTTTTTAAAGTCACATTTCCTCTTTAATATATCGTGGTTGTGTTTTACGTTCTATTTACAGCTACATGTATGGTCATTTAACGTGCCAGGTAATGCTGGTGGAGGAAAGCCGGAATACCCGAAGAAAAATCACCGACCTGCGGACAGTATCCGGTAAATGCTCCACGTAGGCCTCGAACCTGCGACCAACTGATAGAGGGCTTGTACGTCTTACACACTCGGCCAATGCGATTCCATATCTAGTCTCGTTCAACCAGACTCTTCTTGTCTGCGCAAGCTACACCGAACAGAGAGACTCTTGAATTATTAGTGATCAAGCGTCTGGTTGAACGAGACTTCTCCATATCGCAATTACAGGTGTTATTCAGTTAGAGAAATGTGTCAGACCATGTGACGAATGTATTTACTGAGTAATTTACAACAAACACTAATTATGCAGTACAGAGCTTCGTTTCTAACCGTCGCATGTCTGTCATCAAAACTTCAGTCATGTCCCCCAAATATAACGAGCGCTGAAGAAAGCCTAGACAAACAATCCCACGAATATTTTCACGTATGTAAATAATTATTAAAGACAGACACTACCGGTATTGAGAGGCTTCCAAAGCACGAATCACGGTAGAAAAATCCTGCTTGGCGACAGTGAACATGCTATATAGTCGGTCATAACTGATTGTACATTTTCAGTACCCCTGTCCCACTCTAGGTAAAACCAATTGTTAATTACACTGTAGTATTTCACACGTACAATGTACGGAAACTCATCTTAAATACTGTGGTGCAACTGGTACTTATATTAAATTCGAATTATCAAGGGCGTTAAGCCATGTTTCCTTTGGTCTAATTTTAATGTTGCATTTGTTTGATACATATGTATGTAGTATAATGCGTTATGCTTGTGAAGTATGTGGGTCAGCCAAAGGGGCTAGACATTGAAGGGGGTTGTTAAATTAGTAATTGATTGACAGTACATCTGTTTTATATGTTGTCACAAATCTTCGTTTTGTCCATCGTATCATTAGTAAAGCATATATATGTATAGTTAGTTTTATGGGTTTTTGGTTTGTTCGTAGCTTTTCACCAATTCGACACAATTCAACACAAATTAACTTCTCGTCACGTGACGTCGATGTCATTGTGACACAAGTCGATATCTATCCGCTCAGCTGTATGTCGGTGCCTGGTTCAGTCTGGGGTAGAATATCCCTATAAAATATAGAATAAGTATAACAGCTGAAGCAATTAAAAATGTTTGATATACAAATATTGTTCGAGATAAAAGGTACTGTACTATTTGAATTTCGACTACTGAAGTGAAAGACGAGCATCATTTTGCTTTGGTTTGTTAACACCTACAAAGATTTAAGAAGTCGTTGTACAAAAACAAAAACAAAAACTACTGGAAGAACCTATCTATGTTCATTTGAAGAAGTACTATGTGTTAAGAATACGAAAGAAATATGTCGTTTTCGTCAATTCATTTTTGAAGCAAATAATCTATGTCTCCTTCTCCACTATGTACATTGACCTGTCCACAGTGTTGTGGACTTTCGTACTACGAAAGACTATTTACGTCATTTATGAGCAAAATATATTGAAAAGTCATAATAACGCGAAAAACTCGTTATAACGCGGAACCCCGCGTAATAACGCCAACAAAGAACGGAACTACGCAAACAAACACGGTATGGCGCAAAATAAACACGTTATTTCGACTTTTACTTTCGCGTTATTGCGTGTTAATTTCGCATTTTAACATGTTTCATTCGCGCTATAACGACCTTCAGTCTTTTATTTCTCCTAAGTGGCCCTAGTAGGCTTTGGTAGTTCTCTCGTGTACAATTATCGATTGTATACCGATGATATTAGGGTCAAGAGTCAATAAGCGAACTGAATTGAATTGAACTGGTCCGGTCCCGCTTCCTTTATACTCTCGGACCACTGTTGTTGATGTTTATTGTCTGTTTCAGAATGGTTCCGCAAGATATGGTTCCTTGTTAGGAATGGATGATTCATCGAAGTAATACAAATGTATTCACGCCAGATAAAGAAACGTGTTCATTGAGCTGTTACAGTTTTTGACCGTAGTACTGAGATCCTTAAAAAGGTGACACCCTAGGCCTTGTCCGTTCGATGGAGACCTCACAACACGGTATAAAAACAGAACTGCAAATATATTTATACACACTTGTAAGGTTGTACTTGACCATGAGTGGGTTACCCTTTGGCCGACTATATACCGATCCTTAACGCTATTCTTGTTCACCTGTCTCTATTTACTTGACTCCAATACATGACGACCACAGTGTTGATACTGTTTTGTTCACCTGAAAGCCGTCAAATCTGTCACGCTACGGTACCGGTACACCCGGTGCTCCCATCGATTTCAACACTCGTGTATGGTGGACGGCTATACTGGACATTTCTCATGTGTAAATTCCGTTCTTGCAATATGCATTTACCCATAGAAAAAGGAAGATGGTTAGGTATTCCTCGTCAAGAAAGAACCTGTACATTATGTAATTTGTACATTGGAGATGAATTTCATTACTTATTTATATGTGAAAGTGTTTTAGTTAAATGTCTAAGAGAGAAATATATACCAAAATATTATTTCACTTATCCAAGTCAAATAAAAATGCAAGGATTGTTTAATATATTTAATGTAAAAATTTACACAAAACTTTGTAAATTCATAGAAAAGCTTGAAAAAATATTAACTTAATTTCTGTACTATTTGTGTACTTCTATATGTATCTATGCTATGTACAATGTTGTAATTGTGTACATCACACGCCATGTATCATACTTACTATATGTATGTGACCTCTTGTTACACACGTAAGTGTGTCGGAGTGAATAAATAAAACTTAAAACTTAAAACTCATTTTGAGGCAGATCTACCACGGAGCCAGAGACGGACACCGAGAGTAGTAAAATCAGGGAACATCTCAAACTTATTTTTCATTTAATCTGTAATAAGGATTCCTGTCCGCCGCTTGTGACAAAACACTAGTGAACGATATTTTAGTGTTCCTTACCTTCAGTAACATTCCCTGATTTCCATTACACATACAACTGATAAACTGTTCCTAGCTGATCTCACCTAACTAGGTTTTTTTCAGTTTTTTTTTTTTTTTTAATAACGGTTTATACTGAAAACAAAGCATCGGTGCATGCTAGAGTTGATTGTAGTATAATAGAAATCCGAAAATTCACTCCCCTGAAATGATCCCTAGAACAGTCTTCAAGGAATAGCATAAAATGATTTAATCTATAAATGTATATGTGATCTGTGTCATTCTGGTAAAATACAATTTCTTCCAACTGATTATTTTTGCTCGGGAAATTTCGTTTTACCCAATCGGCGTCAGCAAAATACAACAGACGTCCCGGGTGAGATCCTTAACGGAGATATTGAAATATGATCAACTACCACGGTCACATATCTGCCGCATTGAGCCACGAAAAAGACTGTAACGACTGGTTACCGTTTACATAATTGCTTACCTGTGCGCTTACCTGTAGTAACGTACATGTGCGTCTACACACTCTGACATACCCTAACGCTACGTTCAATATAAAGTTATTTTTGAAACGACCCCTGTATTTGCTTGTCTAGGTCTCTTTCTCCACGCACCGTGCTAGGTCTACCCAAAATGAGAAAGGTCTACTAGGAGGCACGGTAGTCTAGTGGTACATGTAGGACGCCGGGCTCGTGACCGAAGGCTGGTACATGTAGGACGCCGGGCTCGTGACCGAAGGGTTGCGGATTTGAGTCACGGCACGGCACTGTGTTGTATCTTTGAGCAAGATACTGTACTTTACTCCGCTTGTCCCAGTCTACTCAGCTGTAAATGAGTACGAGGGTGGGCAGTGCTAGAATTGTTTAATGCTAGCTGTTAGCGCCGAAATGGCAGCTCCGGCTGTATGCTCCCCAGGGAGTTGAGAAAGGTATTGGCTGGTTGTAAAGCCCTATAACCACGGATAATAATTTGTGAACCGCTTTGAGACGACCTACGAACTAGGTTGTGATAAAGCGGTATATATGAACCTCGAATTGTTATAATTATAATTATAACATACGATTTTGTTTGTTTGACGTCCTTTTTACAGCTACGGAAATTTGAGGACGAGTCAGGTTTTTGTGGTTGAGTAAAGCCAGAGTACCCGGAGAAAACCATCGAACTGTGGCCAGTACCTATACGTGTAGCGACTGCTATACGAAGGCTTCGAACCCGCGACCAAGTAGTGGAGGACTTGTGCTCGTAGACGGTCAGACGCCTTAACCACTTGCCCATGAGTTACGTTTGTGCGTATATAATTTTTGCCGAGATAGTTATCACGTTAGTAAGTAACTCTCTTCACTCCTTTACCAACATCAATGGAATGGTGCTGTGAAGATTGAACCATTTTCGCCTAGATTTCATTCCCCGACCCTTTACCGCAAGAAGAAGAAGAAGAAGAAGAAAGAAGAAGAAGA